TATTTTTCTCCGAGACAGGGTTTCTCTGTGTAACAGCAGTGACTTTCCTGGAACTCACTTTGTAGACCAGGCTGGCCTTGAACTTGCAGAAATTTTCCTGCCTCTGCCTCCCGTGCGCTGCGATTAAAGGTATGTGCCACCACCACTTGCCAGAGTTAATTTCTTTAGTTCTTTTAAGAAATGCACCAGGCTAGAGAGATGACTCAGAGGTTAAGAGCACTGCCTGTTATTCCAGAGGTCCTGTAATGAGATCAGGTGCCCTATTCTGGCTTGCAGGCCTATATGCAGGCAGAACTGTATAATAAAAAAATACATAAATAAATCTTAAAAAAAGAAAGAAATGCATCTTTGGGGCCCTACCCCTCACCACAGGTGTGGGAGAATTGGCTCTGCCCCTCACCTAAGCCGAGCAGTCCCAGTAGCTCAAACCAACAGCTCAGCTACTGTCCAGATCCATATCCTGGCACCTTGGGTTAGCCCGCCCAAACATCTCACCCATCTATGACCTACTCGTTGTAGGAGGTTCTGAAGAATGAACTTTGAAATCGTCATGATTCAGGGCAGCAGCAGGATACCTGAGAGGAGTTTCGGGGATGATGGTGTGCTGGAAACTAAAAGGGAATGAGATTGGGGTGCACCATATGAAATTCCCAAAGAATTAATAAAGAATTATTTGAAATGTTTTTTTTTAAAAAAGAAAGAAAAGAAACTTATCTCTCAGCCAGTGGTGGTGGGGCACACTTTTAATCTCAGTACTCAGGGGGCAGAAGCAGATGGATCTCTGAGTTTCAGGCCAGACAGTCTACAGAGCGAGTTCTGGGACAGCCAAGACTACAGAGAAAAACCCTGTCTAAAAAGAAAAAGAAAAAGACAAACGTAACTGCATTTCTCCCTAATATGCCACATACTAGAACAAACACACTCTGATGGAGTACGCTGTGGTGAAGGCACAGACTCCCAGTTCTGTTTATCAAATGCTTCCAAAACATTGCTTCTGACCTCATTGAGTTCATTCCTTACTGACCCGAGTTCAGTATCTCCCAGAAAGAACAAACCACATCACAGGCAAATGTGTCACCCTGCCTTGCAGCATCTCTAGTTGCATTTCCATTCCAAGAAAATGCTTTAGCCACCATTAATGGCACAGGAACTCCATTGTGGAGGAAAGTCAGTACTTCACAATGAAGCAAGCACCTGCCATCCCCTCACCCAGGAACCTCTGCCCTTTATGGAATATTCATGAAGCCATTTTTTGTAATCTCTGCCTGAATTTCAAAAGAGACTCTAAAACACAAAGGCATTTAACAGAAAGAACATGTCATAATGCAAACACAGGAATTCAGCAGGAGAAGGAGGCATTGGCATCTAAATAACGGTACTCTGTCCACAGTCAGACGCCACCTCATATTCCCCAGGCAATCAGAACGCTTTCTTCAGTTAGGTAGCTATGGCTGAGCATGTGACCCGAGGAAAAAAAAGAGAGCAGGAGAAAACCAATTAGGCTTAAGGAAAATCCCACGAAACTCTATTTTGTTTTGTGTTTATGGAGGGAGCGAGGCCACCATTGAAAAATACTACTTACACAATTTACTTCCGACTTAGATACATGATGACCTGATATGGACAGAAGGAAAAGATAAGTAGAATCAAAACAGGTTGTTTTAAAATTGCATCCTTATCTTTGAGATTAGTTTCTTTTTTCTGGAGTTGTGGGGTACTAGTCAATTCACATTTGTAGAGGTTTGAGCATGTATAAAAAATGTATACTGAACATCATATACGATGAAAGCTGAAACGTGCTTGGTAATGACCTTTTTCTTTCAAATTTCCTGAAATATCCTTATGTTGCCCATTGAATACTAATATTGGTCATTGAATACTAATATTGCTCATTGAATACTAATATTGGTCACTGGGAATTTCTGGCACATTTTACTAACAGGCTCAGCGTTTCATTTTAACTATGTTGTTTCTGAAACCTTAGGAATGTTCTTTCTATATTAAACATGGAACAAACTTTTCTCAAAAATTTTTCCATTGTACTAAGCAACATTTCAGATTCTCCAGTCTCTTTGGGTCTAATTTCCAGTTCATCTTTATCCTTCTCATCGTCTGCTTATAAGATCTTGCTGCGTTTTTCTTCCCTACCCTTACCATTTCCCACTATTCAGAGTTCAGAGCAAGGCTAGTAAAATGGATCAGTGGGCATTTGCTTCTAAAGCCTGGCAGCTTGAGTTTGATCCCTGGAATTCATATAAAAGTAGAAGGAGAGCCCGGTGGTGCTGGTACATGCTTTTAATCCCAGCACTCAGGAGGCAGAGGTCGGTGGATCTCTGTGAGTTCGAAGCCAGACTGGTCTACAAAGTGAGTTCTGGGACAGGCTCCAAAGCTACACAGAGAAACCCTGTCTTGCAACCCATTCCCCTCCCCTCAAATAAAAGTGAAAGGGGAAAAGCACCTTTACAAAGTTGTCCTCTCATCTCCACAAGCACACTGTGGCAGTACCCTGCTATCACGCACTCCCGTACTCACATACACACAACAACAACAACAACAACAACAACAACCATTTTTAAAGTGAAAAAGAGGGCTGAAGAGATGGCTCTGCAGCCACTTGCTGCTCTTCTAGAGGACCCCAGTTCAGCACCCACTCCAGGAGGCTTATAGCATTTGTAACTCTGAACCTCTGTGCTCTCTGAGCATCCACACTTACTTGCACACACCGACATGCAGACACGCATAATTAAAAATAATAAAAATAGCCTGGTAGGGGTGGCGCATGTCTTTAATCCCAGCACCCGGAAGGCAGAGGCAGGAGGATCTCTGTGTGTTTGAGGCCAGCCTGATCTAAAGAGTGAGTTCCAGGAAAGACTCCAAAGCTACAGAGAAACCCTATCTTGAAAAACAAACAAACAAAAACTTTTAAAACCAATTAGAAAACCCAGGCATAGTGGTGCACACCTTAAATCCTAACACTTGGAAGCAGAGCAGTTGGTTTTACGTGAGTTTAAGACCCAGCCTGGTCTATATAGCTGTCTCAGGACAGTCAGAGCTACATAAATGAAACTCTATCCTAAAGAAAAAGAAAAAAGGAAAAAAAGGAGTAAAAATTCAGCACCGGCACCAAGAATTACCCTTCTATTATTTAGGATAAACTATTGGGTATGCCATTATGTTTTAGCTCTACTAGAGAAATGAATTAAGCTTCTGTAGCAGCTTATTGTTTATATATTGAGCATGCTCACTAATGTTCTGTGTTCCTCCTCCTCCTTCTTCTCCTTTCTTTCTTTCTTTCTTTCTTTCTTTCTTTCTTTCTTGTTTTCTTGCTTTCTTTGGTTTTTTGAGACAACGTTTCTCTGTATAGCTTTGGAGCCTGTCCTGGAACTCACTCTGTAGAACAGGCTGGCCTTGAACTCACAGGGATCTGTCTGCCTCTGCTGGTGTTAAAGGAGTGCGCCACCACTGCCTGGCTGATCTTCTTTTATTATATATGGAATCGGGGGCTCTGCAAGAGTGAAAACACTAAAGTTTCCAAAATTACTCGTCAACATATTTTTCTTTTCTTATTTACTCTTCTCACATGCAATACATCCCTACCACAGCCTCCCTCCCTCCAACCCTCGCACCCCTCAATCTCTTCTCTCTCCCAGATTCACTGCTCCTCTATTTCCTTTCAGAGAAGAACAAGCCTCCTAGTGATAGCAACTGAACACAGCATAACAAGATGCAATAAGACTGGGCACAAACCCTCATATCAAGGTTGCAAGGTGCAATCCAGTAGGAGGAAAAGGGTCCTGAGGACAGACAAAAGAGTCGGAGATACTCCCACTCCCACTGTTAGGAGTCCCACAAAAACATCAAGCTAAACCACCACAGTATGTATGCAGAGAAACTAGATCAGACCCATACAGGCTCCCTGACTGTCACTTCGTTCTCTGTGAGCCCTAAGAGCCCTCCCTGTGTTCTATGTTCTCCTGGTGTCCTTGATCCCTCTGGCTTCTACAATCCTTCCTCCCCTTCTTCTGAGGGGTTCTTTGAGCTTGGCTTTATGTTTGGGTATTGATCTCTGATCTACTTCCATCAGCTGTCGGAGGAAGCCTTTCTGATTCTCTGACAACTATTGGGCTAGGCACAAATCTATGAGTATATAGGAATATTGTTAGGAATAATTTCATTGATTAATTTGCCAGTTGTGTGTTGGCTTCTATACTAGGTCTCTGAGACATCAAGCTTCTGGTCATCCAGGCAGTGAGGGGCGTGGGCTTCCTCTCACAGCTTGGGACTCAAGTTAGACAAGTCATTAGTTGGCTACTTCCACAAGTTCTGAATCACCATTCCCCAGCACATCTTGCAGTCAGGACAGGTGTGGGTTGAAGGTTTTGTGGCTGGGTTGGTGTCCCATTCCCACTACTGGGAGTCTTGTCCGGTTCCACAACATCTTTATTTGTAAAATAACACTCGTTAACAAAAAAAAAAAAAAGAAAAAAAAAGAAAAAGAAAGAAAAAAAAGATAATGGTTTGTTTCATGTGTATGCCTGTATGCGTGTACGTGCACCACATACATGTTTAGTGCCCTTAGAGGTCAGAAGACCATATCAGATCTAGAACTGTTGTGAGACATCATTTGGGTGCTGGGAATGGAGCCTGGGTCTTCTCCAGGAGCAACAAATGCTCTTAACCGCTGAGCCATTTCGCCAGCCTTATCATTTCCTAAACTTTAATAGAGCAATTCTTCTTAGATCTGTACCAATAATCTGCAGTTTTATAAATCCACCCCACCTCCCTCCCGGACTCGCTTTTTAACCCGTCTTCTGCTAAGTTCATTGACCAAGGTACCACTTGCAAGCCTTGAGCATCATTGCATCCATAGCAACCAGACTTGAGCTTCTTTGGTCACCATGGTGCCGGCTCGACCGGGCCGTGTGGTCGCTATGGTAACTGGAGGCGGATCGCCGGGTCCAAGTAGTCTGAGCGCATGCGCACAAGGCCAGTTCGCCGCTGCAAGCCTGAGCCCCTCACATTCCCCTCGACATGGCGCTGAGCCGGCGTCTGGGACTTCGGCTCTGCGCGAGGCTGCCCGACTTCTTTCTGCTGTTGCTCTTAAGGGGTGAGTTGATGCTTCTGTGCCCCTGGGAAGTGGGATCTGTGGCGATGGGAACTGAGCGGCCCGGGCCGCCGTGGAATAGCGGCTTCAGTGCCCGGGATTTCGGGTCCGGCCGAGGCGCTGAGGGGTGGCCTCTGCGGGAGCGTGGCGGGCGCGGCTTAGCGGGCTGTCGGATCGGGTCTCGGGCTGACCCGCGTGGATGCGGCTGGTCCTGGACAGGGACACGGCCCTCTAGATTCAAGAAGGACCATGGCAGCTGCCTGACGAGCTCGAAAACTTACTGAGAGAAAACACCCCATCGGCGGCGTGGTGCCCAGAAGTCGTGGACTAGGAGCGGTTTGGGAAGCTCCAGAGGCCTGTCTTCCCGGGTGCTGTTGGGGTCAACAAAGAAGCTGAACTGGGCAAGGCCGGCCATCCTTGCGCTGAGCTCCACAGGGATGAGCACCTTTGTCGCAGAGTGGTGAAGGAGAGACCCTTACCCCCAAATAGCATCTGGGCCATCTTGATCCCGCCACACTGCTAAACTTGAAAGTTTTGTTCATTTTCTTTCCACTGAATTCTTGGGAGAGAGTATTTCCCTGGTCAGTTTAGCAGAAGCTCTTAAGTTTACTTCCTATAAATAACACAGGGCACTTTGAATCCGTTATCTCAGTCCTTAAAACAGTTCTGTGAAGTAGGTTTTTGAACCCATTTTCAGAGGCTACTTAATATAGCCTTTAAAAAAAAATCAAGACTGCATGCCAGACAAGTAGTGCCAAACTTACTTAAAGCACCACTCCTTACTCACAGGTAACCCTACCCGTACCACTCACTCTTCAACCCTTGGATCATTTGTTTCTTGGGTTTGTTGCCGCCCATGATGTTTTCCAAAAAAAGTACAAATTAACACACCAAGGCACTGGCACTGTTGGGAGTGGGGGCGGGAGGTGGACAGACTTAGGAAAACAAAGCGTTTTTGTGTTTGGTGCTTATTCTCGTGGGGTGGTCAGAGTGGCTGTAGTAAAGAGAGGGAGTCTGGTTCAGGAGTGCTGGAAACAGGCCCCTGTGATAAGGATGAGCATGTGCCTGGTGACCAGATAGTTTGCCTGAAAGTTCTTTCAGAACCAAGTGCGGGTGGGAGCTACAGATGACCAGAGGCTAGCCAGGAGACAGGAGTGTCAGGAATGTCCAGCTCCCACTGTGCTGGTCACACTGACAGTGTTCTATTCACAGCCTAGAACAGCTCCCTATTGTTGAGGAGGTTTGCTCACATGAAAGTCTGCAGTTTTCACTGGAGATACATTTGGCAGTTGACCTCAGGGATGGATTTCTACTTGGTGACTTGCTAGTAAAAGCGGAAAATGCGAAGGGTGTCATCTGCTCTTAGTCTCAGGTTTCGCCCCGTCCTGTCTTGTGTAAAATCCGTTGGGTTTCTTGCTATAAAGAGATGGGATTCACTTGCATTGCATAAATACAATACGAATTTGTGATCTAGGATGGATGGCAAAGAGGAAGGCATAGGATGGCATTAGTCCTCTTGGAAAGCTGTGGCTTGCTTGTTCAAATGAGGGGTTTTCCATTATATGGCTTTCAGCTTACTGATACCCTAAAGCTGTACTCCTGGGGCTGGAGAGATGGCTCAGTGATTACCAAGGTGAATTCTGGCAGAGGACCCAAGTTCTGTTCACAGCATCCAGGTTGGGTGGCTCAAACAGCTTGCGACTCCAGCCCTGGGGATCTGACACACTCATGTGTGTCAGGACCAGGCACCTGTACTCATGCAATTCCTCCTTCACACATGAGTGAACAGAAAATAAATCTAAAACCTGCCATCTTCCCAGGTGAAAACTATCTTTTTAATGTTTAGCATAATGCTAGCCCCTGTCAGCTGTGACTCTTTGCCACAGCACTACGGAGGCTGAGGCAGGAGGATCACTGTGAGTTTTAAGCCATCCTGGGACGTACAGTAAGTTTCAAGTTACCCTGGGAAACAACAAATTACTAGTTCCAAACTGCATGTGATAGCATATTCCTGTAATCACAGTACTTAAGGGGCGGGGGCTGGGGGATCACTGTTCAGGTTCAGCCTGGGCTACAGGGCAAATTCAAGGCATGCCAGGGCTACACAGTGAGATTCTATTTCAAAAATTAAAAAAAAAGCTTCCGACACAGCAGTAAATATTTATGTGATTATCCTTTGCTGGACTGTATTACGACAACCTAACACGTACTAATTCATTTCATTTTGCTAACTTTAGAGTACGATACTGTTTTGTGTAAAACAGGAAAAACAGTAACATAAGCATGCAGAGTTGATGCTTGCTGTGGTACTTCAAACATCTTCAAGTTGGAAGTCTCTAGTCTGTGGTAATCCGGTCTTTGGTTACTTGTTTCTTCTATTTGACAGTGGAAATCTTATAATGGATGACTTAAGTAAAATTAACAAGTGTTCAAAGCCGTGCTGTTTCTATCTAGAATATTCCTTTGTGGGCTTTATGACTGGTGTGATTCAGTTTGACAAATGTTATGGCTCATCTCCTTTTTGAGCGATTATGCGTAATTCAGTAACTTTCCAGAACTTTGTTGTTGTTGCTTTTTTCTTTTTCCGACACAGGGTTTCTCTGTGTCGTCTTGACTGACGCGAAATTCAATCTGTAGATCAGACTAGCCTCGAACTCATAAGAGATCCGCCTGTCTCTGCCTCCCGTGTGCTGGGATTAAAGGCGTGTGCCACCACCGTCTGGCTAACTTTCCAGAAGTTTTGATGTACCAGAGAGAGGCCTTCATTTAGAACTAGCATAACAGTTTGTAGTCTTGAAGACAGTTTGTGGGGTGGAATGCAGAGATTTCTAACCAAATATTCTAATTCTTTCACTTATTTGGATTCTTGAAGCATTAGAATGACCTACGTTCATTGGCTGATTGGGATTGAACTCAGGGCCCGGCAAGCACTTTGCTTCAGATGTAGGCTCAGCCCCTTTAAGATGTGTATTTTTTTTCTTTTTTTTCTCAGAGCTGAGGACCGACCCCAGGGCCTTGTGTTTGCTGGGCAAGCACTCTACCACTGAGCTAAATCCCTACCTCCCTTTATTGTTTTTTAAGTCCTTTTGATTACCTGATTGCTAGAGTCATTGTCAAGGATGAGGGTGTACTTTAAGAAAAACAAAGGACACCTGGTCCCAAAACATGAACTACTTGGATCAGCTGCTCATCTCCGAATGATTAGTTTATGGCCATGCTACAGGCTGAGGGGATTGGATGGGTAGCTTCTAGAGATCTTAGCCGTTAAATAACGGCAGTGTTAAACTCTGAATCACAGAGGTGCGTCTCCTGGGCTCTGTGGACGGCGAGGGGTCCACAGTTTCAGTTTTCTGAAAGCAAGCAGATGCTCAGGCTTGCTTTCTGAGATGCTTATGTGTTGTAATAGAAGACGCTGTGGTTGTAGCGCACCCGGCTAGCAGCTGTTAGAGATGCAATATTAACAAATTCCTTCTTCATAAATCCTTTGAATTCTTCCAGAGCGCAAGTGGGGTGAAAGAAAAGAAAATATGTGTGTGTGAGTCCAGTCGGCCGGGGGCATCCTAGTGATGGCAGAGTCTCTCTCTCTTGAGGTGTGTTTCCAATTAGGTCTCAGTGTGATGACATTAGGGATGAGTGCAAATTTGAAATCTTTACACGTGCCCGTGAATTCTAGCACCATATGCAAATATCTCCACTGGCGTATGAAGAGATCTGGAAACCAAGTTGGGTAAGCACATTCTTTTACACTCAGGTTAGCAAGGACACTATGCACTGTATGGAACTAAAGCATCCATTGACTGCCTCTTTGCTGCTCGCCCTGGTGCACAGAAATCGTCCTGAGAAGCAGCCCTCTTTCTCATGCCCTGGGAAGCAGTGGTTCTTCATGTTGGGGTGTTTGGTTTTCCTGCCTCTCAATAGTATTTATCGTGTGCTCTGTATCGCATGTTCCCACAGCCACTGTGCGCAGCAGGATTGCAGGGCTGGGCTGCTTTAATCAAGCCACAGGGACGATTAAGGCTGTGTAAACTTCTTCCCTTTTGTCTTTTTCTTTTAAAAGTTTATTTTTCCAATAAATGTTTTACTTTATGTTGTCTTAGTTTCTTTTCACTTGCTGTGAGAAAACACCGTGACCAAGGCAGGTGATAAAAAGAAGCATTTAATTTGGGATTCACCATTCTGGAGGGTTAGCGCTCATGACCATCCTGAGGGGGAGCATGGCAGCAGGCAGGTTGGCATGGCCCTGGAGCAGTAGCTGAAAACTTAATTTTAATCCATAAGAAGGAGGGAGGAAAAAGAGAGAAGAAGTTGAGAACTAATCGCGAATAACTTGGGCTTTTGAAATCTCAAAGCCAGCACACTTCCTCCAACCAGGCCACCTTCTGATCCCGCCCAAACAGTCAGACCAACTGGGAACCAAACATTCAAATACGTGAGCGCTGGGGGCTGTTCTCATTCAAACCGTCACACATATGTATGGGTGTTTTGCCTGCATGTTTGTTTGTGCACCGTGTGTGTGTAGTGCCTAAGGAGGCCAGAAGAAGGCAACCGATTCCCCAAGACCAGAATTACAGATGTCTGTGAGCTGGAAGGTTGGTCTTGGGAATTGAACCCAGGTCTTTTGGAAGATAAACAGTGCTCCTAACCATTTAATCATCTCTCCAGTCCCCATAACTTTATTTACATGAATGTGTGCCTGTTTGCCTGTATGCACATGACATGTATGCAGATGTCCAGGGAGGCCAGGAGAGGGTGTCAGGTCCCCCAGAATTAGAATTAACAGGTGGTTGTGAGTCACTTTCTGTGGGTGCTGGGTTTAGAACCTGGGTCCTCTGCAAGAATAGCAAGTGTTTTTAACTGCTGAGTTTTCTTTGCAGCCTCTTTATGTCTCTTGTAGAGTATCCCAATACTTTGTTGGTTCACCTTGTTCCTACAATTATTGTTAAAATCAAATTCTACCAGACACATTGTTTGTTGTGTCTGGTAACTTTAGCTCCCAGTAATCT